GCACCGGGCAGGGGCCCCGCACCGGGCACCGACAGCGCACCGGGCACCGACAGCGCACCGGGCAGCGGCCCCGGGACGGTGCCCAGCGCTGCGGCTGCGGACACAGGCTGCGCGCAGCGGGCGAGAGCCCCGGCATCGCACCCGGCCGCCCCGCCGGGAGCGGAACGGTGGGCATCCCCCCGGGATGCGGGGTGTCCCCTCCTGGCCGGGGGTCAGTGCCTGGCGCCCACCCGGGGCCGCGCTGCCGTGGCTGCCCCGAGGGCTCACGCCCTCCCCTCCCCGCAGAGCAGCCCCTCGCCCGCTGCCGCCCCTGCGGGGCTCCGGGGCCGCTGTGACCGACGCAGCCGGAGCCGGGACGTAGGAACGCGCCTGGTTCAGACGTTTCCTCGGAGTTTCTGACTCCGGACAGGGAGCAGTGTGTCCGGGAGCAGCCACGTCCCGCTGCGCGGTCACGGGTCCCCCCACGCCGCCCCAGACAGCCCTGCTCGGGTTCACTACAGTCTGAAATCCTGAAATTAGGGTCACGCAAATAGGAAGAGTCGAAGGTGTGTGTCAGCCCCGCGGGAGCCAACAGCCGGACAAGAGCGTGTTGTCTCTCCGGGCTGAAGGAGGAGGTTGTTCTGCCGGTGAGGCTGTTTACATAAAACACAAAGCAATTGAGGCCACCGCTAATTTCTTTTCCCTGAGGTCAGATTGTTTCTACTCAACGATACGGGAAACATTAAGGAGTGGATCCATACTGGAGCACTGCCATTTCCTCCTAAACGCACCTGGCACCCACAGTGTGATGCCGGGCAATTGGGGCTGCTGACCCGAAGTTCGGCTGTGGCTGTGTCCGACACCGCTGCTCCCCACAAATCCCTGGCGGCAGGAGGAGGGAGAAGCATTTAATGAGATGTGCTTCCTACAGAAACCATGGCCAAGCTGTGTCACACTGCCGATCTCCCCTCTGCTCCCCCCACATGACCAGCTCTTCCAGCTCGGCTCTCCAGCACTGGAGGAGCCGGGTACCCCCTCCGCAACAAGAGGTTTGACCGACCCCTCCCTGCCAAGAGCTGCTCCTGCAGCACGGGCTGTTGAGTAGGGAGCAGTGACATCCCCAGCCAGCCCTGCACTCCTTGGAGTGTGTGAGGGGCACGGCCCTGGGGGAACAACCACTGCTGGCAGAACACTGTGTCCAGCACCAGCCCCTGCAGGGCATTACCTGCTGCCAGGGCACTGGGCTACCATGGCCACGGGAGCCCAAAGGCCGGGACCAACAGGCTGTGGGTGCAGCACTCATGCTGGCCCTGCCATGGGTGACTCTCGTGTTGTCAGGTGCAACACGGTTTGACGCAGTTCTATCAAATAACGCACTTTGTTCGGGTGAACCCAGCCCTTCTCAGCACTGCCAGAAAGGGGGGCATGCTGCCCCGTGGCTCTGTGGGCTAACTCTGCGGCTGCCCCCACCCAGGGTTCCCTGACAGGGACCCTGCACTGCCCGGGCACAGGAACATGGCCCAGGCTGGCAGGGAGCCCCATCTCTCCAGTGAGACACACAGAGACAGGCAAAGATCTCGCCTTGGTTGCTGGCAGGGACATGTCCCCTTATCGAGGTTTTTCATCATGAAATGAGATGCCTTGGAAGATCCCAGAGGCGCAGGAGAGTATTCCAGTCCAGTGAGGCCCCTGCAGACAGGAGAGGAAATTAGGGGTGACGTTTGCTCCGACTGCTGCCCTCCCACACATCCCTGATGAGTGGTCTGAGAAATTCCCTAGTCACCCCTGGCCAAATGCCACCCCACACCAGAGTTTGGCAGGGGGCAGGCAGCTCAGGCAGGGGCACAGTTCCCCTCCTGACCTGGCCAGGGACACCAAGCTGGAGACAACTTGGCCTGAAAACAGAGGGCTCCTGCTCCACAATCAGGTGCCCATTGCAGCTCCCCAGCGTTATCAGGGTGACATTTCTGGGTTGTGGATGCCAGTGCCAGCCCTCGCTTTGAGGAACCGCCACAATCAGGGAACATAACCCATTTCTCACCTGCATTTGGCTGCCAGGAAGAGAACAGGGGACTGTGTAATCACTCTCCTTAGAATCAGATCATGAATCAAAGCCCTGCTCAGCTCTGGGCTCCAGCAAGCCCTGCCAGGAATTGTCTGTTCTGATTCCAGAGCTCAGGGCAGGATCATGGAAAGGCCAGGATGGGTCCAGACAAAGGTGTGTGTCCCCCTCCAGAGATGGGGATGCACAGCTGGGGCTGCATGGCACAAGGTGCCCATCCCAGGAAGGGTCCAGGGCTCCAGGGAAACCCAAAGCTTTTTTCACAGTTGGCTTCACCACCCCATGCCCACAGGAGCTGCCTTGCCCCTTCTTGCTCTAACTCATGTGAGTTCAGGGAGAAGGAGATGGCACCCAAACCTCAGCTCTGGCAGTAACCCTGGGCAGATCACTGTGGAGGATTTCCTCAGCCCAGAGGTGCAGATGGGATCCGCCTGCAAGTTTATCCCAACATATAAATTTATCATACTGAAACAACTCTTGTTCCTAAGCAGCCACATTAAATAAAACCCCTCTTGGCACCTTACCTCCCTGACCAGTGGGATCTGAGTGTGCCTGGCCTGATAGTGCCTTATCTCAGCACCAGAGCCCCTGAGCAGTGCCTCGCCCCAGCCAATGAGTCCTAATCACCCTGGCCAGACGCAGCAAGGGCCTCTGAGGGGCCATGGGCCAGAGGAAGGGGCTGCATCAGCCCCCCCAGAAACGCCACCTCCACAGGGCTGGGCTGGGCAGCACCTCCACAGAGGGACACCTGCTCCCTCCAGGGCGGCAGCACCAGCCAGCAGCACATCTGCCATTCCAAGGACCCATCCCATGGCCCTGGCAGTGACACCTCACTGCAGCAGCACCACCATGGTGCCCAGCATGGGCAGCTGGTCCCACAGGGTCTACACAGGCATGACTGGATGTGGCCTCCAATAACGAGCCCAGAGGGTGTGGAAAAGGAATTTTACACCGTGTCCATTCCGCAGAGGGGACATATTCTTCCTCCTCCTCCTCCCACTGAGTAAGCAACTAAATAGGAAGCTGAAAAAGAGAAGGGAATTGCTGCCAGGAGAGCCTTGGAACGAAAAAGCTAGTTTTAGTCTTATCTAATATCACATCAGCCATTTCCTAAGAAGGGAGCGAATTTAATTAAGAACACAGACTCCCTCAAGGACAGCCAGGTTACAGACAGCACTCCCAGCTCGGAACACAGTGCTGGGAGGTCCACATCATGCACACAGACAGCAAGGACAGACACTCTGAGCCTGACTGCTGGAGGCTCGCTGCTTGGGATCCAGTGCAGACACCTTCAGGCACAGCACTGCAGCCACAGAGGCAGGCAGAGCAAACAGGGAGGGTAGGGGCAATGTGAGTGGCATGGAGAGGGAAGCAGAGGCAGGTCTCAGACATCAAAACCAGTCTAGGGCAGACACTGGTAGCAGACAGATCCTACACAGAGACTTCGGTGGTTGCAAACACAAAGGGAGGCAGTGAGTCCCAGGCTGAGCAGAGCCTGAGCCAGTTGTGGGGACAGACGTGCTGTGGGGCTCCTGGCACACACTGTGGCACAGCCTTTGCTTCTGCTGGCCTTGCTCAGTGCTGTCAGTGCATGGCAGCACTGTGGCAGAGCTCATAGGGATTGGAGACCACACCTGCCCAGTGTGTCAGTGATTCACCGTGAGTGCTGCCAGTGCCCTTCTCCAGCAGAGAAGTGCTGGCACTCAGGAATTCCTCCACAGCGCTGCTGTCCCTGGGCACGGACAGGAAGCCTAAGCTTCAGCTGCAACTCCAGAGAGACGTGCCCAGACCAGGGCAGCACATCCCACCAAGTTGAGGTCAACAGGTTCCTGCTACAAAATGGAAAGTTTTAAATTTTGCAGCCCCTGGACTCCAGCATCTCACCTACACCGAGGATTCCCTGACACTGACACTGGCTGTCAGCGGCAGTGACGCCAGTGTTGGGTTGTCCCCAAGGGCAGGGCAGGCTGGACATGTTGGTCAGCACTGGCCAGGGCAGGTGCCGGACCCCCAGAACAACCACACTGGTCTGACCAAAGGTCACTCCAGCCCTGCCCCCAGCCTCCACCATGGAAAGGTGAGCATGATCCTGCCCCAGCACAGCCATCTGGCTTCTCCAGGACTCACGGGGTCATCAACTGTACCTGGGCCACGGCTTCCAACAAGTTGGGGACTTTGTTGTCAGCACCAAGAGTCTAAAGCTGAGTCATCCCTTTACCAGCCACGGTGGTACAGAGCTTACCCTGTCACCTCTGCACAAACCCAGGGGCTTCCAGCAGGCTGCATGCGCAAAATTAAAGTAAATGTCTCTGTCCTGAGATGGGCAGCGAGGGCTCCCACGAGCCATGGCCCTGCCAAGTGGAAAAAAGCACTTGTGCTGCTGCTTCCCACGTGGGG